AATTTATTTAGGTGTCGTAACTTCAAAACGCAAATAAAATAAAATAAAATAAAAAATGGTGCAGCTGATTTTGGTAGCTCCCATTAGTGTGCTAGAATACGTTAAAAATACACCAGCATTGTTAAAACAGGCCGACGGGGTGAGTTGGGCCATAGCCCGCCATCTTGGCGGGCCAGAATAAGGCTAGGTAGGCCCATACTCACCATGAGTTGTAGGCTACGCAGGCTGCCCTGCAAAATTTGAGAAGGAAAAAAAAAAAAGGAAAATTACGCACATGGAACTCTGTATATGAATATTTACATATATATAACCGTTGCAAAATATTAATCAAAAGAGGATGAAAAAGTGAATTTTATTTCATTTGTACGAGATTTTGATTTCTCTCACCATCCGTTTATCTCTCTCTCTCCATATATTAATCATGACATTAAGATAAATTCACGCATGAAAAACGGTTGCTTCTCTCTCCAAATTTGTTTCTCTCTCCAATTGTTTTTCTTTCCAATAAGTCTATTTCTCTCACCAAAATAAAAACTGTGCCATTAATAAAAATCATGCCATTAATGATAGCTACAAATTCGTTTCTCTCTCCAAAATCCGTTGCTTCTATTTCCAAGAAATCTATTTCTCTCGCCAAAATAATAATCATGCCATTAATATGCCCGTCAAATTATGAGTTAGTGAAATTGATCGTGAAAATATGTTCAGATATATTGTATATTACTATATATACAGAAGATAAACAACATATAAACAACAACATGTAAATTATCCGTATAGTTATACGTAATATAAACAGTATATAAACAACACCAAAACGAGATAGAACATAATACACAATTCTAAATGACTGCAAAATCTCCTTTGATATCAGGGATTGGAAAGCAAAAAAAAAATTCAGATAAATTTGTTCTTTGTGAAATCTCCTTCAATAAAAATAAAAAATAAAAAATCAGATATACTATACATATACTGCCTAATAACCATAAAATATGTGTTTAGATATACTGTATATATACATCAAATAAACACGATCTGACAGTTCTCTAATATTAACTGTATAATTATACATAAGATAAACAACATATAAATAATTCTGAAACGGAGTAAAAACATAATACACCTTGGCATTAAAAAAAATGAGATTCTAAACAACCGAGATTTGACTTGGCTCGGGGCTTTATGGATATTTAAAGCGACCAACATCCGCTTGCAATCCGGCCACACCAGCACGACGATCCGGCCAGCCCCAAAAACATTCCAGTCGCGTGCACCGTCCAACACCAAAAAATCTGGCCACACCAGCACCTGTCTTTGGCCCCTCACTTTCAGCCTCCCCATGTAATTCCCTCCTTTCGACGCTGACCTTCGACGGGAACTCCTGAAATCATTGCCTCCTCAATTTGGTAAGATTTATGCTATTTCTCTTGAAATTGAAATTAATTGTGAGAGAGAGGGTTGCGATAAAGTTCAAGAGAAAAAAAAAAATCAAGAGAGAGAAAGCGAGATTAAATCTCAAGAGAGAAAAAGTGGAAGAGAGAGAACAGGGTTGCGTTAGGATATTAAATCTCAATGGTATTTATGATGGAAAGTTTATCATTTCGTATTTTTAATATTATTTGTAAAACCATTAGTAGGGAGAGTAATTTTCTCAAAAAAAAAAAAAAAAAAAA